AGTAAAGAAAATAGAAAAAGACACACCTCTATATATATATATATATATATATATATATATATATATATATATATATATATATATATATATACATTAGAATTCAATTGGGTATAATTCCTACCATACTGCATCAAATAGCGTCTCCTTCTAACATATATGTATATATATCTATATGTATATATATATATATATATATATATATATATATATATATATATATATATATATATATATATATGGTCAGTGAAAATGAAAGGGAGGGTATATAAAGCATGTGTGAGAGCAGCGATGGTATATGGTGGTGAAACTTGGGTGTTGAGGAGAGAGGAGGAAAGTGTACTGCAGAGGGCTGAAAGAGCTATGGTGAGGATGATGCATGGGGTTAAAGTGAAGGATAGGAGGAGTAGTACAGAGCTGATGTCGATGATGGGACTGAATGAGGACATTGTGACATTGATAAGGAGATCGAGATTGCGGTGGTATGGACATGTGTTGAGAAGGGATGAAAGGGTCGGGATTAGGCGAGCGTTGGAGTTCGAGATTGAAGGAGTGGTAGGAAGGGGTCGTCCGCGATTGGGATGGAGAGAGCAGGTGGAGAAGGACAGGGTGAAAGCGGGGTTGCGTGATACTGAGGCGAGTGACATGTGAATGGCGTCGAGGGGTATTTCAGTTTCATCATAGGTAGCCAAACGGCAACCCCCGATCTCGGAGAAAATGTTGTCTAAACGTGTGTTGTTGTTGTATATATATATATATATATATATATATATATATACGCACATACATAGGACAAATCTAGTTGCCTATGCATTGACATCATCATCGTCGTCGTCCTCTTCATCGTCGTCGTCCTCTTCATCGTCGTCGTCATCATCATCGATGTCTGTCGATTTGCCAACACCGTCAAATTCTAATATTGATTTTGATGTCAGTACTTTGCTGCTGATGATGGTGGTGGTGGTGGTACTGATGATGTAGAATATGATGGTACATTGCTATGATGGTGATGTGAGACGCGCCTGTTGTGGTGATGAATGTGGCTGAGGTGAGGGTGATGATGATGAATTTGTTGCTGATGATGATAACAAGACCGTCAATTGTGGTTTAATCGACGTTAATAATACTAGTAATGATGATAATTTTGATTTGCAGGAATGCTGTGACCTCGAGATGATGATAAAAAACAATTTGAAAAACGACGATTCGCTGATCCTCCAGTCTATATCGTCACCACCGTCACCATCGTCACGAGCCGTCAAATCGTCATCATTATCAACGTCTTCGGAAAATGTCGCCCTTCTTTCTGATGATGATAATGATTGCCTGGCCGGTTCCCTTGACTCTGGTATTTCCGGTGCCAAGGGAAATAGGGATGGGCGTATTGAGGAGTTAGCTTGTTTTTATGTTTAATTTCTCGTGGAGAGAATACTATATTTGTTAATATTATTAATTAATATTTTCCACACCCAGCGTCACCTGTCAGTCATTTCAACTGACGCTCAAAATATCGCCACTTCACCGACAACATCATCAACTGCAACAACAACAACCGCCACCACAACATCAATCCGTCTCTACATCCACTTACGATGAAAACAACACCATGAACAGAGAACAAGACACTGCCTTCTTCTGCTACAATGACGATGGCGCCGACAACGAAATCAACAACATCGTCATCAACAATAGCAATATCATCAATATCGATTGTTGCTCTCAACAGAATCGAGATTCTCCAGATGTTTTCACGGCCTGTGAATTAGCACAACAGCCAGCAAGACAACCACATGCGACCTTACCAACGACAGCCACATCAACAGAGGCCACCACGTTAACAACAAAACGATCATACAGAGATGTAGTTTGCCATTCAACGTCCCAACAAAACTTCACCACTTCAACTCAGACGACATCCACTCAGACGACATCAACTCAGACGACATCAACTCAGACGACATCAACTCAAATGACATCAAAAACAACATCAGCGAGGACAGCAACGAAAGCAGCTGTTAAATCTCGAAGTTGTTCAGATATAGAACCACATTCAAACAACTACAACAACAATAGATACTATTACGTGATAAGCAACAGCATAAAAAACAAATACAAACAACAACATCAACAAAGTCGGTCTAACAACACGTGAACAGCACTGTTCAACAACATCATTTCTTTTCTTTTGTTTGCTCTCATGCGTTTGTTTATATATTAGTATTATTATCTTTATTAATGTTACTACCTTCCATACCTTTATTATTTTTACCATATTTACCCTTTTAATGGTTGTAGTTTGTAGAACGTGATATTTATAACCTATGCATATATATCAATATTTTTCTTATCCTAACTAAGATGCCCAGATGACGGTGTAATGAAAATAAGTAATTAAATCATTCTATTCACTGATTGGTCGGTGAATCGACCGGTTGGTTGCCCGTGATTGGCTAGTTGACTGATTTGTTGGTCAGTTAGTTGGCCAGTTTTTCTCACTGTGATTGGTTGTGTTTTTTTTGCCCAAACTCTAACTAGGTCTTCGCTTTTTATTATTAATGTTATTATCATTATTATTATTATCATTATTATTATTATTGTTGTTGTTTGTTGTTAGTATTGTAATTTCTCCTTCTTTTATTCCACTTGTAAATAAATGAAAAAAAAAATCACAACACTCATAATGAAATAAAAACAAACTTATTTATCGCCATCTTAATTATTAATTAATTAATTATATGCGTGCACTTCACAAATTACTTTTTGATGCATTATACAATGTTATTCTTCATTTTTTTCACTAAAATTAGGCAATTTTTATATCTTCAGCCGTTAGTTGTACCCTACCTTTCTCTATTTGCACGTACATATTTATATATATTCAAGTAAAAACACACACATATGTGTATGTATATATATATATATATATATATATATATATATACTTTATTGATTCATATATATATATATATACATATATATATATATACTTTATTGATATATATGTATAACTATTTGTACATAGCAAATACATGTGTGTGTGTAAAGTTATTGTGTTTTACAACATTACTATAATGTAAAATATAACATTATCATCATTGTATGATATTTTAATGCCTTCTCGTCTGGCCAAAAATACCTTTTATTAAAAAATACAATTTCTCATCTAAGGTTTAAAAAAATATATACGTTGAAAAAAGTGTTGGCATATGTATGCGTGCAGATGAAGATGCCATTGTTATAACTTTCTTTAATGAATATTTTTACTATTAAAATAATTATAAATGTTTATTTCTATTTATCACGAAAAGGTTTAAAAGATGTTTTGTAAATTTATTAGTTAACTAAAATTATAAGCCAATAAAAACAGAAAAAATTTACTTATAAATAAATTTTAGATAATTATCTATAGAAAAAAAATTGTATAATTATTTAATTATTAATATTATTCATTTACTGTTGTATTTCTTTCAATTCTATTCTTTATTTGTATTTATGTTATAATTATTTTTAATAATTTAAAATATCAAAACACAAAAAAAAGTCTTATTTCTGCCTTCGTCTCCCTCTCTCCTTTTCTCTCCCTCTCTCTTTCTCTCTATGTATATATATATATATATATATGTGTGTGTGTGTGTGTGTGTATGTATTAGTATATATATATAATGTATATACATATATATATAAATCTTGAATATGTATGTATATGCACCTTGTATACTATTTCTTTGTAAATATATTGAAAAATATATACATGAATGATATAATGTATATAATATATATATATATATATATTATGTGATCTCTCGCATATTGTTGGACGTAGTTTGGTTATAATACCAACGCGTGCTCCACCTTTCATTGGAGTCGTTGTTGCTATCATTATCACTACTTTTATTATTATTCTGATTATTTATATTATTATAATATTGTTCTTCCCTTTATTATTATTACTATTATTAATTTTCTTCTAAATTTGCTCAATGTTCGGTTAAATTTTATTCATTTTTTCCTTCTGTGAATCTATCCCTCATCCTTCCTTCGTTATTATTTAATTATATTACTATTATTATTATTCATTTGTTATATCGTAAGTGTTTAATTTTATTACCATTATTATTATTATTATTGTTGTTGATGTCATGGCTGTTATTATTATTGTCGTTATTGTCACCCATATTATTATTGAATGTGATTTTATATAGGGTATATTTAGAAGATCGTTATTATTTATTTATTATTATTATTCATTATTATTAATATCGTTGTTATCATCATCGTCATTTTTTAGGGGTTGAATTTTGTATTAGGGGTAAAAACATCAAAAAATTCCTCAACAACACTTTTACTGCAATAACTCCTGCTACTGCCACGCGTACATTTTAACTACTACCACTACTACTACTACTACTACTCTACCACCACTTTTCCTTTTTTTAGATTAAAATGTTTTAAACAGTAAAACTGCATTTTGCTTTTTCCAAGATTGCTATTTCTAATACTATATTTCAACTTCTACCATCACTACTACTGTTCTAATATTACTACTTCTACTACTATTAAGTCACTTCAATGATAACTACGCTTCACTTGAATTACTAATAAATTCACTTCTTCATCTTGCTACAAGTATTCTTAATCGCTACAATAAGTATCCTTAATTGCACCTGCCCCGCCCGCATTTTGCTTGAGCCATAGTGATTGCTTTAATATCTAGACATTAATATCGCCATCCTTATCGTGTATCATGAATTTATTCCGTCAGTTAATCGCTAGCTATCGCTAATCACTTCAATTATCAAATACATTTCATTTATATATTATTAACACACGTGTGTACCATGAATGTCTCATATTAGGTCGTACATTACTACGTTCACGAGTCGGTACATCCCGTATTTAAAACTACACGTACAATACCACCATCCTTCCTCGTCATATTTCTCAATAATATAAATTCATACACATGTATAGATAGATAGATATAGATATATCGTTATAATTACTGTACAATGTGCATGCAGTCAACGCTAACCTGTCTGCAAAAGTACACGGACGAATTAACAACTTATACATGTAATATTTCTTCTGTTGAGGCCAAAAAAATGAAATAAATAACAAAGAAAGCTCCGTTTTGTTAATTTATGTTGTTAAAAATTTAATTAGAAAATTCTAGAAACATCGGTATACGTGTATGTGTTATATATGCGTGGATGCAATGATTGTATTGTATGTATATGTATGTACCTATGTGTACATGTAGGTGTACATTTGTACAACCCTACCAACACATACATTTATAACAAAAAAGCTTTCAAAACTTTATGAGACATAACCTAAAAATAACAACACATCAACAAAAAATGCAACAATATCATGTAACATAACATTCCAACTTCTACACTCTTTCATCAACAATAATAATTATAAGCCAGAAAACAGTAGTTAGCAGAATGATTAATAACTTGGCTTAATTAACCAACTAATCAACATAATTAGCACAGCTGATTAACATAATTAATTCATCAAATTATCTCCTCTTCCCCCTGACCAACTGGGATTCAAGATTTTCATCGAATTCCTTGTCACTCACATTCAGCATCAAGCTTCCAGATTGAACATATACTCTGTTCCTAGAAGCTGCTATCTGTAACCACAAATATATAATAATAATTATTATTATTATAAAATATAATAATAAATTATGTGTAAATAATAAATTTAAAATTACTAATTACAGCCATGTTTACTTACAGTTCTAGCAATGTTTTGGGCTGTTCTTATCTTCTTCAATTTCAGGTAGCCTGGATTCTTTGAAATTGCTTCACCAATCTTTGAGTTATATTATAATTAATAATTAAAACTTCGGATCATAATTTTTATTATATTTACAATTATCATTTTTGCCATAAATTTTTTGCTGAGATGAGAAACTGATCAATCTTTTTTTGGTAAGAAACTGTCTCAAAATTTTAATTTATTTTGAAAAAAACTAGATTAGAAGATGAATAACGACTTAGATTGAGAGAGGGCAAGATAGAGAGAAATGCTTGGATGTGTATGTAATAATTTACAACTGTAACTAAAAGAATGGACTGCACATCAAATATTAAAGTTACTATCATTAAATAATTCCTCAATCATCACCATCAGCCAACCAACCAGTTTAGCTGCTTTGGCCTCTCCCTCTGCCTGAACAACTTTCTGCTGTCTCTCCTGCTTTGCCTTCTCAACAATGTACTGAGCCCTTTGTGCTTCTTGTTGTGCTATCTTATGAGCATTTTTAACAATATCATCATCTTGACTGCCATCACAAAAGTTAGACATATCTCTAATTAGTTAATTCCTTAATTCCCTAACCTGTTTTGCTTCGACAGCTGCAGTGTACTCTTTGCCAAAAGTAAGTTCAGTGATTGCTACATCATCGAGGATGATGTTGAAGTCTCGAGCTCGATCGATCAACTCCTTACGAACTAACAAACTGACCTGCGAAAATATAAATGAAATGAAACTAAATGGTGGAAGTGAGAGAGAGAGATAGATAAGATGATAAAAATGAGAGAACTAGCGAGGAGAGGAACAGAAATAACATTAAATGATAACTTGCCTGCTGACGTTGGGTTATTAGTTGTGAAGCATTAAACTTGGCTACAACACTCTTCAAAACCTAAATAAATAAAATTTAAGAATCTATCTTAAATACAAAACAATACAAAATTTTAATTTAACATTTATCATCTAAAATCCCCCAATTGTAGCAAAACCCCAGACTCAAACAATAAACATCACCGTTAAATTAAAGATAAGCCAGAATTCATTAGTATTAAAAAAATACCTTCTAAGTCAAATAAAAACAAAATCCATCACCCATTCAATCAGTCAATCTAACAACCTCATTGCAGATAGAAGGCAAAACCCTCTCATCATAATCGACTCCCAGCTGTCTGTACATGGTGGGCAGTTGCATGGCATCCGGCCTCGACAGAACTCGCAAAGATATATTTACCATCTGCAAATCTGAAAGTATTTTCAAGATTTTTTGTAAGACTACCATTATTATTATATTCACTATTGGCAAATCTAAAGTTAATTTCAAAATTTCTTTAAATTTTCAAAAATAGGAAAGGAAAATAGGAATAAACCTTTGCTTCCTGTTGGAGAAGAAATTTTTCTTGGTCGAGCTCTGATGTCATATATTATTGGATATTGGAACCATGGAACTCTATCAATTAGCATTTCATCAAATGTCTAAAATAATCTCATCATTTAAAACATTTTTAATTTTTAAATGAACTATTTGAAAATATGAAATTATTAATTGATCTTCAACAAAATTTTGCAAACACAAACTTATGTAATACATAAACTGACACTTGTTTATAAGCTAGTATAATAACCAATATAAAACAATACATACAATACAAAACCCATACAATACAGAATGCATATAAATAACATATAATAGAATACAGTGCAATTATATAATGTAATAAATACCTAAAATGTAAGCCTTCAGTGTAAATGTCTGGCTTTATACCTCCAATCCTACTAAAAATAATGGCCCTGTGACCACCGTCAACTGCCAATCAAATTTTTATTTGTAATGTTTATTATTTTTTAACTTTATTAAGAAAATGTAACATGTGAAAAGCAGCTAAACTGCTAAAGAAGAAGGTTGTATCTTTTGAAAATTGGAGATGGCAGTGACAAATGATGTAATTTTGATTCTATGAAGAATGAAGTCTTCCACTTCCCAAACAAACATCAACTATTATAAGCAAACACATCCTCCAAAAAATTTAAACTGCTGAGAGAACCAATCAGATCAGATTAACAAATTAGGAAACCAAATTTTAAACAAGACTAAAATTGAAAAAAGTAAAAAAAAACAGATTGCCACCGGTATAAGTAGCCTGAGAAACGCCATACAACAGTCCACCAGCGGCCGCCAAAAGTCCAAGACCCACTCCGGCACCTTTGCCATTCTTCGACAACTTGCTCATTATTTCACTAATCTTGTTCTTATCCATTTTTTGACGACCTTCAAACGACAAAAAACAATCAACACATAAACATGTGCGGAGTTAATATGGCGAACTATCTGATTAATAATGAAGAGGTTCATTTTTTAACAATTATCAGCCTACAATTTCATGTCTACTTATTCTATACATTCGTGTAGATCAAACGTTAGAAGACACAATTTTTCAAACAAAAGACATCTATGCTTTTTGTTTAGTAACGAAAATTTTAAAAAATAGTTTTAAACAACTTATTACCTTGTGAACGATAACATTCACAACATTTTTTAATAATAATAACAATTATAATGTTGGCAAACTTGTTTGAAAAATATCAATTTAAATGTACTTTTAGTGAAACTTAATTTGTTCGAATTCAAAACTTTGTAGGCAGTTCAACGCAAGATAGTTAAACATTTCTTGACTTTTTATCAGATCTAGTAGTGGAGAGAACTGGTTTTTTAATTTTGATTCGGTCGTGCTCCTCAACAATGCCATCATCATCTTTGATCACCTCATCGGATTCAGCACTGTCAGCACTACTTCCTTCAGTATCCTCGTCACTTTCCTCGTCGCTTTCATCATCTGAAATGTCACCAAGATAGTAGAACAGAGCCTGGGGAATAAGTTCATCTTTGATGTGCCAACCCAATTGGAAATCGTCATCCAATACACTGGCGTCTTCGTCGTCCTGTCGAAAGGTTAAGTCATCAAACTACCGGCTGTAGATCAAAATATAAAATACACTTACAAACACTGCATTTTCAGGAACTGTGAAAAAATATGATCAACAAATATTGTAAAGAAATATAATATTTTCACTCAAAAAAAATTTTTTTCTAACTCTCAGGAAAATTGAAAAAGTTGAAAAACGTGGCTAGTCCTTTCTTCTCATACCATTTTTTCAATGCGCCTATGTAATTACAAACCATCCTTTGTTAAATAACAAAATCATTTGAAAAATTTAGAAGAATACCTTGATAATATAAACCAGATTGTAGCACAGAAGATGAATTTTTTTTATTGCTCGTTATAACTGTTAAATCCATTCCCGTTTTCCATTTGATATCACAACTGAAAAAAAATTCATTTAATTTTATTAATATATAAGTTGTTTCAGATTTAAAATTAAGCCTACCCTACACTCTTGTAAATTTTTGGTCCATTGTAATGCAGCGGGTTGTCTTTGTCAGTTTTAACGCTCACAAAATAAGTTTTCGTAAGCACGTGATTGTGGAAATAAGGATTTGGCGCAAAATGGAAATCTAATCTGAAAGACTGTTTGAAAAAAATGAAATTGCATTCAATCAGAAGTGAAACAAATCATAACCACTGCTGGAATATGCTAACGTATTGCCTGTCATGTTTCAATTGTGAAATATCTGTATAGGCATTGACATTTGTCAAATACATCAAAGCATCTCTATCAGTTTCCTTGAAAGCAGATGAATTTTATCAAGAAATCGAATGCATTATTCTCAATTATTTAAATTGAATAAAATCCATAAAATCTACTTGAATGATGGCTTCAACGTATTTTGAATTCATGAACGCCTCATACCAAAACCCTTGAATCTCATCTTTCGTTTGAGTGTTGGCAGACTTGTTGGCATTCCAAGCACTGTGCGCGTTGTTATTGGCATTGTCAGTATAATCTTCCGAGATTATCTTAGCTCTCTAAATATCGAAAAAGGAAGATCTGAACTAACTAATTTCGATGATACATTGATAATGGATACATACTCATATATATTCAATTTACTAACCTGCTCGTATAAGGATTTGATGACGGACTCGAATTTATTTTCGAGAAGAGTTCTTTTCAAATCAAAATCAACTTCATATTCGTTTATCTTCTTCTGCAATTGAATCAATGCTTCCAATCTCCCGGCCATTTATATTTTACAAAATGAAACAAAACTGAGATTGCTTGGAGGTAGAATTATTTTAAAACTTTGTTTACAAACTTCTCATAACGGAATTCTTTTAAAATTGATTTATATTTTTTCGCATTACGTCACGTAAGCGTTAAGAAATCAAAGCATTTAGTTGAGTTAATGACAAAAATTGAAGAATAAGTTTAAGAATTAGCTGGTTGAAAATTTAAACAAAATATCAAAAATTTGTACAAATTAACAAGATGATATTAATCAAAGACTGACGCGTACAATACGTTTTCAAAGACATAATTAAAACTTTGATTATTAAAATTTGTTTAAAGTTATGAAATATCGCCAAATACGCACAAAGAATGTCGGTATGTCGAATGTACAATCACAAGCAAGAGACAAAAATGTTAAACTTCATAGTATTAAAATTGTCAACGATAGTGACTGCATTAAGAACTTTCCTAATTTGAGGAAGTATTCACGAAAATTAGGAAGAGCTAGTGTGAACTCACTTGAAAGTTAATAATACCAATCATAATTTTTGATTATAATACAAAAAATACATTTATAAGAAGTAAAAAACAAAATGATGTTAAATAATGCAGATTAAAAAGATATCCCACGTCAAGTTTGTAATGAAAATTGAAAATTAGTAATTAATTAAAATTAAAAAGCAAGTTAAGTTCGGACGTAAAACAAGAGTAAAATAACAACAGAGAGACACGATAAAATCAAATTTTACCATTAAGACATTTTTGTACTTTCACATTTGAGATAACAAAAATGCAGAATAAAAATAGAGAGAAATGTAGATTTTAAGGTTTAGCATCTAAAACTGTTCACAGAATGAATTCTATATAATAATAATAATATTATTATTAACAATAACAACACCAAAAATAATACCAGAATGTATCATTTGATTATTAACTTTTAAAAAATTGAATATTTAAAACAATTTCTTAAAGAAAGTGAACAACGACGACGAAACAACGATAACAAAAAAAATTAGGCTAGGAAAACCTGAAATGGAAAAAATAATGGTATGATAAACAACAACAGAGAACATGAATAAAATCTTAGCTGGAAATAGCTTACAGACTTAACATACACACACACACACCACACACAAGCGCACACACATACACACGCACACACACACATCTCCGTGATTGTGTGTCGTCTGCCATAGGCGGGCCTCAAAACAGACTTTCCGCACTCCTAGATAACTGAACCGGATGTGAGGGACTTCTTGCTAAACGCTTCCTAGGCAAGGTTTCCAAACTTTTACAGATCTGTTGACACGTCGGGCGATCTGCTGGCTCCAGAGACCAGCACTTCATCAAAATTTCCTTTAAAGTTATTCAGTTGGAATTAGGACTAACATCATAAGTTGTCATAAAAAATATTCTGACTAATAATTATTATTATAAAATATTATAATATAATGACCTTGAACTCTGTTTGAAGGTTGACAGTAGGGTGATATTCACCCTTCCCAACCCTCCAGATAACGCATTCTGGGGGCTGTTTGTCGTGTGGTAAGTCACCGGTCAGTAGTTCATACCATATTGTCCTATATTTTTTTTTTAATTTCAGTTAGAGAAAGTTATGAGTGTTTATATGAAAGAAATTTGGCAGCGAATGGTTTCTAATAAGAGTTATAGTTTGTTGATTAAATATCATTCTGTGCTATTACAGAAAATTACCGCTTAATAAAATAATTTAAATAAAAGACAGACCCAAATGCATAGATGTCAGATTCTTTAGAGAATGGAAGGTCGACTTCATTTTGGTTTCCTGCTTTTAATTTTCTGGCAATCTCTGGAGAGATGTAACTCAGCCAACCATTCGGAATTTCAAGCCATCCTCCTTTCCTATTTTTATAAATTAGAGTTTGGATTAAAAAGTGTTCAAAAGTTTCACAGTTAAAATACCCTCAAAAAATTTGCCAAAGTACAAAATTTGTTCACTCTAAAAACCGTCACCAACTTAACCCACCTGGCCCCAGAGCATAGTTTAGTGACGCAGAAAAGTCCGTAATCACTGATGACAACTTTTGAAACAGCAGACGAGTTTTTCAAACTTTCAACAAAAATGTTTTTAGTTTTGAGGTCTTTGTGTATGATGCCTTTGCTGTGAAGGTAGCCTAAACCCTGAAAATGATGTTGTTGATGATGTTGAAGTTGTCAACGAGACGATGACTATGATGAAAATGAAGTTGAGAACGACAAATCAACAACAACAACATCAACTAACCACAGCAATCTGAGATGCGATGATAACGACGTGATTGAGCGCCATTTTTTCTTTCCTAATTCTAATCCGCTCGTAAAGAGTCATCCCATTCACAAAGCTATACGTTTGTAGGGGCCATATTTGAATCTTATACGTATAAACTAACACATACAAAAAATCATTGAATGATATTGATGATGTGGATATTACAGAGAAAGAGAGAGAGAGAGAGAGAATCTGAAAAAGAGAGGAAGAGCATACATACCTAGTTATGATAGCAAGTTTGGGTGGTTCCATGCAGGCTCCAATGAACAAGACCAAATTTTCGTGTCGAGTTTTTCTCAAATTTGTGACTTCCAACTTGAATGCCTGGATTGTAGTGGGTAGTAGGAAGTGCTGGTAACTAATTCATCATCGTCGTTTTAACGTCCGTGCTTCCGAGCTAGCACGGGCTGGACGGTTTCCAAAGTAAGAAAGTAAGACAGAAAAAAAAGAGAGAAGAGAGAGAGAGATAGAAAGAGAGAGAAGAGAGAGAGAGAGAGAGAGAGAGAGAGAGAGAGAGAAACGAAAAAAACAGACCTGTAGTTGAATTTGATCATCTGTGTTGGTACACCAATTTAGTTCTTTAATGGCTACTTCGCCGTGCCAGTATCCCCTGTTTTTGTATTAATATAATTATGATGATGATAATAATAATAATAATTATTATTATTAAATTATAGTGGTATTAATAATTACTTATGAACAGTTCCGAATCTGCCAGCACCGACGAACTCGTTGAATTTCAATTCGTTGTAAGGTATGTTCCATTCCTTCAGGCCAATGGAAATCTGTGTCAGTGCGTTCGTCATCGTCATCACCACCACCACCATCATCATCGTCGTCGTCATCATCATCATCATTATCATCCTCGTCGTCATCATCACTAACACTATTATCTCTGTGGAGAGCATTATCATCATTGCTGTCAATGGAGTCGCAATGATCTAGCTGCGTGTTCGGGTCACCTGAACTACCGCTACCCGTCTATTTGTTGTGCAAATTAACTAATTAATATGCAAATTTACTAATTAATATACAAATTAGTTAATCCATATGCAAACTAATAAATCGACAGCATATGGTACACTAATAAGCAGTGATGGGTAGTTAGTTACCAGCTATAAATGGTCAACTGTTAGTTAACTACAATAGTAACTATATTTCAATCAGATGTTATCAGTACAAATTTTATTCAACTGAACTCAAATATCCACAACTGTCTTGTACTGCCCAGACAAGGCATTCGGTTAACTGCATCCTCTGGAAAAAATGACACGAATCAAAATTAAAACTTAAGGCACAGGCAATGATGGACACATAAAAATCAATTATTCTCTCTCTCTCTCACTGCATGGATGTGCAGTACATGTATGATAAACGAACAACACGCCATTACCACCTAGCCATCAATTAAAAATGATACAGATAGAATAAGTGATGATAGCACTGATTGGAACACTAACGCATTTGAAACGGCAACAATAGGCGTTACAATTGAGCTGCTCTCATTTGAGGCTAGCCTACTTGTGTCTGAGATGAATAAATAAATATTCTAATTAATGAATTTGCATATATAAGCGGCTAGTAAACCGTTTAAAAAACAATAAATTAACATATTTGAATGTTAATTAATGAAAAGAAGTTAAACATAGCAGGATTTATATTTTAGAGTTAATTGGTGAAAAACAAAAATAAGTTATGCCAATTATACCAGGATATATAAATTGAGATGCGTGGTCAGAAGATCGTAGATAATGTTGATGCTGCTGGTGGTTACTCAAAACAATTATGGCGGGAGATGATGGTGTTGACGAGTTTCCAGAAGATGTAGAACTTGAATCAAAATGTTGTTGCTGCTGTTGTTGTTGTTGTTGCGTGGGATGGTGATGGTGATGATGTTGTTGTTGATTATACAGATTGTTGTTGTTGTAATGGAGATAATGCAGATGATGATGCTGTTGTTGTAGGTTGTTGTTGAAGAAATTTTGTTGCTGCTGCAATAGTAACTGCTGTTGCCTGTGGTGAGTTTCTGTGAACAACATTTTGTAAACCTCACATTCATATATAATAATAATTATATCAACTTTTATTTGTAATTAAATAAAATAATAATTATATTATTATTAAAACTAATCAACAAAATTTAGTCACGTACCATCATCTGACGTGAATTTACATAACGACGAGGCCTTTGAGACACACGAATTGTGGTATTTACACCTTAGAGGATAAAGAGAAAGTATTATTACTAATTCATTATCAGTTGTAGTAGCATTAATAGAATCAGCGATAATAGAAAAAGCATAGCAGTGGCAGTAGCAGCAGTAGTAGCAGCAAAGCAGTACAGTAAAAGTAGTAGAGTAGTGAGACATGCATATATCAATTGAAGAACGCTCATTACTTACTTGCAATGCTTGCACACTCGACCTCTTAGTAATTGTTTCTTGCAGAAATCACAATTACCCCCCCAGACCATCTTGCTTTTGAACCTTATTAACAATTAAGTGTTAATTGATTATTATTCATATATTAATTTATTCATTCAGAAATGTTAATTAAATGGTAATTAAATGTTAATTTTAACTTGTGCTGTGAGCCACCAGGTGAAGATGAAGGCACGCCCAGCTGATTGTCTATAAATAGATTTTAATCATCAAATTGACATATGCTCAATATTCATAAAAAGATAATAAATGTTTTCTAAGAATAACTGACTCCTGTAAGGACTGCCTTCCCCACCGCCTCCAACAATTTCATCGTATTTACTAATTTGTGGAGATTTAAATGGCGACGAAAACAAAGGAGATGATTGGCCAGATATTCGACCAATGGTGTCCTCAGAATTTCCAGATGAATGCTTTCTAAATATGGAAGACGGCGGTATTGCCTCTGAACTACCGATCAGGTGGATGTTGCCTGGCTTGCGTTTGGGCATTCTGCCGTACAGGAGAAGGAGAAGTTTTCAAAGTGAGTTCACGTAAGACAACAGTGTGATGATTGTATCATTTATAAATCGTTTGTTGAAGTTAAAAACATGACTGAACAATAAAGAGTGAACGACGATGAAGCTGTTGTATACGTGATTGTATCATCAACATTCATCATCATCCTCATCATCATCATTATCAAAAAATCATCACTTTCATCATCTCAAACATCACAATAATCGTTAAAAATTCAACTGACAAACATAGCACAGACTTTTTATTTTCATTATTGTCTAAATTAATCTTCAAAGATAACTGCGACTCGTGTGATTTACTCTTCGTGATCGGTTCAAATGTCAACTTGATCTTCCTATTCGGAGGGGGGGTTGTAGGGTACTTGTTACAATTCTGCGACCGCATTTGGGCTGTAGGCGACGGTGTGTGTCGAAGGAGATTGAGATGTGGTGATGCCGGGACGTAGTGGCTGCTACCGATCTGCCCGATGTGGTTCTCGGAGGTGAGGGCTTGTTGTGAAGTGTCAACGTTGTTAAGTAACTGAGCGCTGTTCGAAAACTTTGGTGTTATTTGAGCTGTTTCATTGGGTAGAGACGAGGTAGATGGTCGCTGTTGATTGTGATGGCGGTGGTGAAATTTTGGAGAATTATTGAGGTGGGGACTGTATGAGGAGTTGTTGTTGGGTGCTGCATTGAAATTGCTGCTGCTGCTGTTGGGATTGTTGATGTTGTTGTTGGTAGTGTTGGCATTTGAAATGGATGTTGAGGTAGATGATGATGATGATAATGAGGATGTTGTCTGTTTGAATGTTGACCAATGGTAGCCGAGTGACATCCAGCCCCCATTCATGTTGCCAGAGCTGTCTGCAAATGCAAGGAAATTAAGTGATATTAGCTGCTGTGCAGTCTATGAAGAGTTTGAAAATCTATGTTCACTTGATATTCATACAAAAACCAGACCAAAATCTACAGGCCTGTCACTTTGTTAACAAGTTATAACTAGAAAAGCTTACTTTTGCACTTGTTAAGGTTCCCAACGGCAGTAATTAGCATACGAATTTCATCCTCTGTGGCCTTTACCCTCATCAATTCAGCTTCTAATTCTGTTTCACTACATTCCAACATCTTCTTCAGTGTCAGCTTCTTATTCAACATCTTCGTTTTTGAATAAAATTATATTTTTCTGAATAAATTATAAATGATTATAAATGTCTAAATATGTCTAGCCATAACTTTCTATTCATGCATCAACAAATATTTTCACCTACACAGCAAGAACTCAACTCGTTCAAGTAAAATTATTTTTGCATTTTTAGTTCTAAATTATAAAAGCATTATTATAAACAAAAATTTAAAAAAAATTAACTTCAATTCTTGATTTTTTAATGCCCACAATCTCCAGCCACTGCTGTGTGCTAGGGTAGTCATGGAGAAGGACACTGCTTTTCAACTTGGCTTTTGTTGTCAACATCTTACTGAACAAGCAGACAAGTTTTGTCTGGGTAGTGAAGAAAAAGAACAATGAATACAACATATTATATTATTATATAGTATATTATATACATACTGCTTAATTAAAAAATCAATTAATTTGATGTCAATAATATATATGTAAACCATATTGTAATCTTAACTTAAACTGCATGCCATGTATGTAATTTTTTTCTAATTTCAAGGGGAATTTTAAATAAAATTTACCATAGTAAATAAAGTGGAACAGTGAAATTGAAATATAAGAGAACAATTTAAATATGTAATAAGTGTCTAACTTCACTTTCCCATATCTCCTTCTGAATGAGTTCGTCTGTAGCAGCGCACTGCCTCAATCCAAAAAGTTGTTTGGCTGCGATGTCAATCATACTCTGGGTCTCTCTGCACACAGAATCTAATTTAGTGTCTACATCTTCATCTCCTACCACTGTCGATATTATAGACATTTCAAAAAATTTCTCAAAAAATTTAAAACTTCGTTACTTTTGAGTTAAAAATGATTTAAGCCGCAAATTGTTTTTTTTAAAATGATAAGTTCAATACGGCATTTTGAGATATAAAGTTCATAGGAATTTAAATTTAACAATTAAATTGGGACTTAACGAAAACAACAACAAAAAAATGTAGTCTCGGAAAAATAAACAGTTAAAAATTTGATTTAAATTTTGTGACTTAAAAACTAGTTCAATAAAATTTTTTAGCTTAATTTAAAAATTTATATATTAAACAGTAATATTTTATTATAGAGTTAATGAGTTTAATGCCGTTTTCGTATGAATTCACTTCTTTTTTAAAGTTTTGAGCGTTTGCTCTACATTGACATAATAATATTTTATTTTAAAAAATTGTAACTAATATTCATAAACTATTAGTTGAAATTTAATAAAATCTCAAACTAACATATTCTGAAAAAATATTTTTTTCTATGCATAACTTTGTCGAATCGTCGACATAGAGCTATACTGAGTCTACTTGTCCAAAATAAAATTTTGGCGATCAAATTGTTCGTTTTTAATTAAACTATTGAAAATGCACATTTGATCAATTATTTTTTATGCATAAATGTCGTTTTCACTGATTTTAACATTTGCAAATTACGTAAAAATTGTTGAATTTCATTCGTTTCTTAGCTAATGGAAGCAGGTAGGTAACATTTTTTTCTTGATAGAATTAGTAGTTGCATTTCTTTTATTTTACAACTTTTAGGATATTTGTAAAAAAATATCTTTCTCTGTATATGTTGAGAATTGATAGTATACAAGGGCATTATTTTCATAATAACTGTCTAATCCCCCATTTATCAGTTTTATTAGTGAATTAATTATTAATGTATTCATATTCAATTCACTAATGAATTAATAATTTTATTACATGCCATGCAGATATGAGTGACTTGCAGTGGTGTTTTTCTCAAGTCAAAGGCACTGCAGACGATTTTGTCTCAGATGGTATGTTGAAAAGTATATTTTATTAAAATATGATGTGTGGTTTTTGAATGTTAATGTCAAGGATAAGTTTTATTCTTTTTTACTTGCAATTGGCTCCTCCCACTTTGTTCATGTTTACTTTTTTCATAATTATAATTACCTAATTAATTTTTAATTGATTATTGATAACATATTTTGAAATAACACTTGAAATAAATTTTTTCCAGCTGATATAATTTCCTGTGTTGAGTTCAATGCCGATGGAAGTTTATTGGCTACTGGGGACAAGGGTGGCCGAATAGTAATTTTCCAAAGAGGACCTGTGGTTAGTAAAGTTATGATCCTATTCATTGTAAGTATTTGCATGACATAATTCCTATTGGCTAATTTATGCAAATTTGATACATAATGTATGTAAATTAGTTTAAAATGCTGATACACCTCACAAAATTCTTTCAAGACTAAAACATCGGACGGTCTTAAAAATGTTGACTACGAGGTCTACAGCACGTTTCAAAGCCATGAGCCAGAATTTGATTACTTGAAGAGTCTTGACATTGAAGAGAAGATCAACAAAATCAAATGGATTAAGAAATTGAATGCCTCAAATTTTCTCTTATCTACTAATGGTTAGTTCTATGCTAATTATTTGTTTTAAGGTCATGGCTGTGTGTTAATTGAATCTGTTATTTGTAGGCTAATTATTATTAGTCAATGTTCTTTATGCTTTTATTGTTATTACAGATAAGACAATCAAACTCTGGAAAGTTACAGAGAAGAACAAGCGACTAGGCAGTTACACTCTGCCAACTTCACTAATCCCTAATTCAATAATGGATCCCTCTCAGTTAGTCATACCACACTTTGAACCTATGCAGACGATGGTTGAGGCCAGTCCTAGGCGAATCTATTCCAATGCGCACACTTACCACATCAATTCCATCTCAACGAATAGCGATCAGGCAACATTTCTGTCTGCAGACGACCTGCGAATTAATCTTTGGCATCTTGATATCACCGATCAGAGTTTTAGTTAGTTTGGTTTTTTCTTTTTTTAAGTTCTGTCATTCATTCAAATAAACATTTATTTATTAATTTTTCATTCATTCATTTGTTCATTCATTCATTTTACTCATTTATTCATTCTTTCATTAATATCAGATATAGTTGACATAAAACCAGCCAACATGGAAGAACTTACTGAGGTTATTGCTGCATCTCATCTCATTTTCATCATCATGACTTATCTTCACTACAACAACCACCATAAAAGGAATAATTATTTTTTTATTACATTACCGTTTTCATCATCTACATCATTTTCCTTATCATCTTCATCATCTTCGTCAACGTCATCGCCATCATCATTATCACCGCTCAGGTGATAACAGCTGCAGAGTTTCACCCTGAAGACTGTTCGATATTTGCTTACAGCAGCAGCAAGGGATGTGTGAAGCTTTGTGATATGAGGTCTAATGCCCTCTGCGATAGACATTCTAAATGTGAGTTCTCCACGATGATGCTCATGATGGTGACGACTATGACGATGATGATGGCTATGTTAATAACATCACTCCATTTAAAATCTTTGGCATTCTTGCTATCAGAGCAATTTTAATTATCATTAAATTAGAACTTTTAGCTATCAAGTTGTTATATTTATAATGATGGTAATTATATTGTTTAACTGTTTAACCTTGTTCAATTTTCTCCTCCCAATGTGGAGCAGTTTTTGAAGAGACGGAGGACCCAGTGAATAGGAGTTTCTTCTCTGAAATTATCTCCAGCATATCTGATGTCAAATTCAGCAGGTCAGGCAGGTACATGCTGACCAGAGACTACCTGTCACTCAAGGTTAAATATAGCACGTTAATTGGATGAAAAAATGAATTATGCTAATTAATTAAGTGAAATGCATTATGTTGATTAATTGGAAGCTGAATTGATTGTGGCTGATACTGTTAAACTGTTTGTAATTTTGGAATGTAATGAATCGTCTTTTCGTCACATACATTTTATATTTAAGATCTGCCAAGTTTTATTTTCAAATTTCTTTCTCCTACTTTGTATCTGCGACCAGGTGTGGGACTTGCAGATGGAGAAGTGCCCGGTGGAAACGTACACGGTGCACGATTATCTGAGGAGTAAATTATGCTCCCTCTACGAAAATGACTGCATATTTGATAAGTTTGAGTGTTATTGGAGCGCTAATGACAGGTCGGTTGCTTGTTTAAACTATGCACTTGTGCTTATTCACCATCCTCATTCCTTCATATAACCGTCTTTCACTCACTCATTCATTCACTAATCATTCATTTATTTATCTGAAATTCGAGACTTTTTAGCTGATTTTTGTGGACCAATGTTATGCCAGTCACTCAATCATTCATCAATCTTCAACTCTGCAACAACGTAGGTACATAATGGCAGGCTCCTACAATAACTTCTTCAAGATATTCGACCGGGAGACGAAGCGAGACGTAACGTTCGAAGCGAGTCGAGACAACACGAAGATTCGCAGCAGTCTGAAGCACAAGCGAGTCTGCACGGGCAGTAAGAGGAAGAAAGATGAGATAAGTGTAGACTGTCTTGATTATAATAAAAAAATCCTGCACATAGCGTGTCACCCAGTTGAAAACATCATCTCCTTGGCTGCTTCCAACAATTTGTTCATACTGCAAAGTAAAGAGTGACTATGACGATGGTACTGATACCAATGATGATGACGAAGACGACGACGATGATGAATGTGTTGTCGCTGATCGTGTTGATGGCGATGACGTGTTTATCAAAGGATGATTATGCGTGTTTAACAATGAGATGACACTGATCATTGAGCGAGTTTTGTTTGTTCTATCTGGGAGAGAGAGAGAGAGAGAAAGAGCGAGAGAGAGAAATATGTTTAGTCAATAATATATATATATATATATATATATATATATATATATATATATATATATATGTACGTTAAAGTAATATAAATTCATGTATACAGTTTGAATGTTTTACATTGAAATCAAGTTGGGGCGTAGATAAGTTAGTTGGCTGTTGAACGTTTGAATTTGACTCTCATGTTGTTTAAAAGTACGGGAGGTAACTTTGTAAGCCAAGTTTTGTAAGTTTTTGATTAGGTATGCTTACTTTTACTTAATTTACACCTCCGTGTTGCTAAATTATGTACCTATGTTGACCTTTCTACATGTATATATGGTTTAATAGTTGAGAATTTGTAAACAAACTAATGATGAATGAATGAATGAGCGAGTGAATGGTTTTACGGAATAATGATTGATTAAACAAATGAATGAACGAATGATTAAATGAATTGCAAACGAATTGACAAATGAATGAATGGCAGAATGAATGTCCCGATGAACACATATTAGCTAGGTGTTACACTTTTACATATTTCATTACAAATGGACGTTACGATCTTCTTTGTAATAATGGTAAATAGATGGATGAGTAAACAATAACTTATTTAATTAATAATAACTAATAAATGAAGGTCATTTAACTTAATTCCCGCTTTCGTTTATATTTATTCCATGTTATGTATATAACGTTTCAGTTCAATTTTTGTTTTATTTATTCTTCTTGATCATGTTTGGAGGAAAAGAGAAGCAAAGATAGTAAAAGTAGGTAGGGAGAATATTATTATATAGTAACATTGTTAGTATTGATGAATATATAAATATATATATATTGGATTAAGACTGTTAGAAATGCAATTATTGATGAGAATCACAGCATGTTCGGCATTAGTTAACTTCATGTTTAACTTTTTGATTTTTCTAACGGTTGATCGTAAATCATTCTCAAGTTTCTTGAGTTCAAAACCAAAATTACATATATATATATGTGTGTGTGTGAATGTGTGCGTGCGTGTGCATAACATTAATAATTTAATGTAGTGGTAATAATTATTGAGTATTTTTTAACTCACCGATTTCTATTGTTGTTATTGTTGCATTTTAATATTTAAAATGTTAGCGAGAGAGAGAATTTCTATTTTGAAAAAAAACTTGAAACATAAATTGAACTATTTTTTGCATACATTATTTTTAAAAATCATTCCAAACAAAAGAACCAAAAAAACTTCGTTTACTATTATTTCTATATTATTTTATTATTATTTGTATGCATGTATATATATACATATATATATATATATATATATATATATATATATTTTACAATATTCTATGTAAAAATTATGATCTATTACCAACATATATATATATATATATATATATATATATATATATATATATATATATAAAGAGAGAGAGTAATCATAAATATTGTATATGTATACTTATTTCTTCCAGTTTTTCAAATGTGTTGATTTTTTGATGCTATGTTGTTTACAAACGCCCACACACACACAAACACATATATATATATATCGTTATGTTCATATAAGCTGATGTTTTCATTAGAAATTAATAATATTTATATTTTGAAATTAATGTTTGCATATATATATATATACTTATGCTTATGTTATATATATATATACTTATGCTTATGTTATATATATATATATATATATATATATATATATGTGTGATCATGTCTGATATATATAGTAAGAAACAAGTTCCCATGCGCATAATAATCAAAAATTATAAGATCCTTGCTTCGATATTTATTTATTGAAAATTATTTAATATGTTTATTATTCTCTTGAATCTTAGAATTCTCTTAATGTGAATTTAACTTTTATTCATTATATTGTAATAATCTAAGCTTATTTTTTTACTCTCTTGTCGTTAGGTGACGTGCGGTTTCCATGTGCGTCTGCCTGTTCTTAGGGTATTAAAATACAGCGCTATACAATTTTTATTGATAGACTATAAACATCACTGGTCGTAAACTTTGAGTAAAATTTACTTTTAAAATCGTAATTCACGACGTATGGTAAATAGATTCAAAATTTTCGTAAATAATTGCACATTTTGTAATTAAATATTTATTTTTAAAGAATAATTTGGTAATCTCGGAGACGGCAAAGTTGTTTTTCCAGAAATATATATTTATAGTCAACAGTTTAAAGAGACTCACAAGCTCCACCCACGGTGCAACTAATAAACTAAATACAGCCTGCATGTTCGCTGGTTAGCGACAGTATAATGTAAACAGCCGAAATACTAAAAAAAGGAAAACTGTTTTTTGAGTAATTATTTTTAAAATGTTATTGAATTTAAAAAAAATAAATAAAATGTAAAACGCTTGACAATGCAATCTACCCTTAAACGATTTTGAATCAAAATGTAACCTGAATTTTATGCTTTGTACCCATGGATATATATAATATCCATGTTTGTACCATATAATTAGAATAAATATAACGGCCTTCGCTCATTTTTGACGGTCGAACAAGGAGCTTACTTCCGGAGGAAAATTGGATGGTGATTTTTTATCGCCCAAGTCAAAAGTTACGATCGTATATTTACTAATTTCAGAATATTGCTTTTATTTAAAATTTCAAAATGTTTTAAAAGGTGATACTAGATGCTGTTTTGGGATAGAATTTTAAAATGAAAAAATCCTATTTAATTAATTAATTTAAATGAAAATAGAGAAACGAGCCGCGGTGAAATCCACCAGCCGGAAAAGCCAACAAACTCGCAAAAAAAAGAAACCGTTAAGAAACCGTAAAGTCGGAAGTTAGGGTTAAGGTTGAACATAGGGTGAAATAAAAAAAATTTTTGTGAACCACCAACAACACAACACTATACGACGACTAATTAGTAATTAAATTACTAAACTCTAATAATTAAACTAAAACTAATCTCTACTGATTCTAATTACTAATTGAAATAAATAACAGATGACACTAACGAACATTAACAGATTAGACTACTAGAAACTACCAACCACTACACTAATAGTACATACTACTACTACATTAACGACTAACAGCACTTGTTCCTAAGATCCTAAATTCTATTGCTTGATTGGTTTTAAAATTTTAATTTACAATGCTTAGGTCTGGGAATAAAAAATATACTAAATTAAATAAATATATTAAACAACTTACCAATCAATTTTATAAAATAAACAATTTTGTAATTTGTTCAATTCAAGCTTCAAACTTCCCAAGCTAACTTGCAATTTAATTAAAATTTATTAATTATGAGTGATTCAAACTAAATTTTTTTTTATTTAATGTTTTACAAAATATTCCTCATTCTTAAATTGTAGTACATGTTGTTATTAAATTTATTAAAGATAATGTGTGATTCCAGTGATTCATCAATCCATGACTTGTTAGATCATGATCATTCAGTTTTAAAGAATCCCCATCACCATAACCAATGAGGTTTGTAAAAATTGTACTTTTAATTTATTATATTTTATGCACTTAGAATGTTGTGTTATTAATTATTATCATTAATTTATTAAATGCTGTGCATACCTATAGCAAGTAAATAAAATAATTAAGCATAGAAATAGCCACAATCAAATTAATTTATATAGGCATGAGTATAATTTGGATAATAATAATTAAAAATATCTGTATCATTGAAAATGGATAAAGTCATAAATAAAAAAATAAATCATAAATTGCTAAAAATAATAGTTCCAGTAAGATTTTGCCTTACACCTACATCTTTTTTTCATTCTTATATTATAATAAATGTTTGTTATCAAATATATCAAGGATTGATTTCTCAATCCATGACTAGATTGAATGTCATGACCCTACAGTTCCAGAGGATCCTCGTCACCATTAGTCAATAAGGTTTGTAGAAATCACCCCAGGCATACCATCAATGTTTTGTAGCCACCTTTTAATGTAGTGTTAATAAAATGACATTGAGAATAGTTATTTAAAACAATCTTATTAAAATTATTGAACAGGTATGACAAGATTACTTTCTTAATGTCCTAGTGTGAGGAAGATGTAAGCCATTTGTCCAAAGATAATCATATGCCTTATGCCCATACAAATGCAGTGTCAACGCGAATGATTTTTGATCAGAGTCATATGTTCTAATTTTTTTAAACTTTTCCAGAAATTTTTCTGTTAATTTATTTGTTACATTAAATACTTGATGTGTATTTCATATAAAAACTTGATTATGCCAATTTAGTTAACTTGTTAAGCATTAATATAAAATTGACTCTACTTGTAATGGTGATTGGTATGATGATGATGATCCCAGTCCTAAACAGGGTTTATTATTCACAATGTCATTATGCCCTTTCTAAGTTTTAATAAAATACATGGAATATTGGTCAATGCATTTTATATTTTTTGTATAGATAATGTTGCAATGTACAATGATGATGTGAATTGCTTCCTTGTGTAACTGATGACATATAAATATAACTTGAAAACATGGGAATGCTTTCTTCAGCATTACCTTCCTTTCTCCATCATAACCCTTATAATCTTTATTACAGAAATAGTCACTGCATATTCTTGCATTTTTTGATGGAAGCTATTTGAAATCATTTATTTCCTGTCTGATGCACTTAATCCAATCGTTTTGCATTTTTACATTTTGAGGAAATCTGAAATTTTATAAACTGTTACAGAAACTTGTGCATTTCTTAAGTATTGCTTTTAATAATAAAATGGTAATCCATGATAGCATTATAAATTATAATAGTCTATAAAATAAAATATATGTAATTGTAAAACAAAATAGTTCTATTCAACGAGTATAGGAATATTGTTACATTTATTTTAGTGTGAAGTTAATTTGAAAATAAACCTGTGAAAAGATGCATCAGAAATTTTCTCATTTCTATTTATTATTAATGCAATTTTTAATGCAACAGGTAGGCATGTTTGTGTATAGCTACGAAAATGAAAATTTACTTAAAAACTAAATTATTGTATCTGACACGAAAATTAGTACAGAAACAAAAACGAAAGAATAAATGACAATATAAAAATTTAAACATTGATTGAAAGAGTTTATTCTAATTATATGGTATGGGCAATTCGTTGCGAAATCGTTGGAGGAAATGGTATCAACAGTAGTTATTTTACTGCATGGTAGTTAATCAGCCGGTATAAAGGTTATA